CATTATTTGACATCTTAAATTGAAAATCACTCAATTCATATGGGATATCTTAGTCTTATCAATATGCATTAGGGTGATATCCTTTTAACATCTTTATAAAGAAAATGTTCCTAATAACAAAAGAAGAAAATAGGCTAAGAAAAAAAACACCATAAAAAGAAAATTAACTATGTTGAAAGTAATAACTGAGAAGTAAAATATAGGATATATGATTATGAAGTTTCTTTCTTTGTAAGCAACAGTAATGTATCCCTCGAAAGGATCATACAGCAGGTATTTGTTGTAGCCACAGCTACCTTCTTTGCACCCAAAGCTCCCAAGTCCTCCAGTGATGCCTCGTGCTGGAATGAGGGCTGGGGTGCCGAGATGTGTCTGTTTGTCCCCTGGGTTGGGGTCTTCTCTTTGCACTGCACTCCCTGGAGAATGTCTTTGCAGCTCTCCCAACTGTATTCCACTGTTAGTTTTATTTGACGTCTGTTGGACTGTTGGCAGGAGGTGCGAGAGGGGAAATCCGATGTTCTCTGTCAGCCTCTTTGGGCCGGCACAGCGTCCTGCCCCGGGTCTCAGGGTGTGGACTCCAGTATCCCTGCTTCCACCTGTCGTCCGGGCTCCCCTGTGAGCTGTCCCCTTCTCAGAGTAGAAATGGCTTCCCCATTGTCCCCAGGCCACCGTTTTTGTTGCTTTTCCCTGTGAAGATGACAGCTTATTTTTATTATTTATTATTATTATTATTATTTTGCAGTACGCGGGCCTTTCACTGCTGTGGTCTCTCCCGTTGCGGAGCACAGGCTCCGGACACGCAGGCTCAGCGGCCATGGCTCACGGGCCCAGCTGCTCCGCGGCATGTGGGATCTTCCCGGACCGGGGCACGAACCCGTGTCCCCTGCATCGGCAGGTGGACTCTCAACCACTGCGCCACCAGGGAAGCCCGCTCTGAAATCTTTTAATTCTCTCATTAAAGGCTCGAGGACATTGAAGGTGGTTGTAATTTTTCCTTGTTGTGAGCTTGGGAGTGATGCTCTTTCCAGCTCTCTCTGTCTCTCAGATGAAACTGGAAATTTCTAATCTGCTTTTATTCCTATCCACAGAATATTTAATTTCAAATATTGCATTTTTCAGCTCTAGAAGTTCCACTCATATCTTCCATTTCCTTCCTCATTATGGGCCCATTTTTCCTTAAATCCCTGAGCACATTTATAATTGTTAGAAATCCCTGGCCTGCTAATTCAGTCACCTGTGTTTCTATTGATTAATTTTTCTCTGGTATTGGTCATATATTCCTGCTTCTTCCCTTCACTAGTAGTTTTTTCTTTTTTTTTTAATTAAATGCGACTATGTGAATTTTACTTTATTGAGTGCTGGGTTTGTTTTTCTTTAAAGAAAAATGAAGTTTGTTCCGGTAGGCCATTAAATTACTTGCTGATTAGCATAAACTATTTCGAGAGTTGTTTTAAAGCTTTGTTAGGAGATTCTAGCACTGGTTTGTCCTAGTCCTAATGCATTGGCCCTTCTTGGGTCTCTCCTGAATGTCCTGGGTGGTCAGCCAGGATCATCCACTCTGGGTGGTTGAAGGTCAAACATCTCCCAGGCTCTGTGTGAGCTCCGGGAATGGTTCCACTTACAGCTTTCTGGTTGTTCTGGTCCTCTGTTTATCCTCATGGGATTCTGCCCTGCAGCAGCACATTCAAGGTGTCCCTGTGTGGATTTCTGGAGCTCTTCTTCAGCATAGCTCCATCATTTCCACTACCACCTCCCCACAATGCCCCATGTTAGGCCCTCTAAATTCTGGTCTGTCTCCTCAAATCTTTAAGACAACTGCGTTTCATGTGTGTTTCCCCTCCTGCCTCATGATCCAGAAAGTGTTCCCAGGCAGAAAGCTGGATGATTGTTGAGGCCCGCTTCATTGGTTTCCTTTCTCTCAGTGACCACAGGCCTGTACTGTCTGTGGCCCAACATTGGAAAGCAGTTTTGTTTTCTCAAATTTGTCTACTTTTCAAGTTACGATATAAGGGCAGTCTGTCCCAGCATCTTCATCATGACCAGAGGTGGCAGTTTCTTTATGGTTGTTTTAAGATCTCCTTTGTGGATGCGGTTCAGTTTCACCACATATGTATAGGTGTGAACTTATTTTTCTTGCTTGATATTTGTTATGCCTCCTGTATTTGTGGGTTTATATCTTTCACCAGTTCTTAGAAGTTCTCAGGAATTATCTTTTCAAACATTGTCTCTTTTCCATCCTCTTTTTTACCTACTTTTTGGAACTCCAATTTGACATTCTCATTCCAACCTCCCAATTTTGAAATCTCTCAGTCATATTGTCCCTCTGCTCCCCCACTTTTGTGGCATATTTTGGGAAATCTTTTCCTACCTGCCCGTAATTCTAAAATTCTCTCAACTGTCTCTTATCTGTTTAACTTTTCTTTTGCATTTTACTTCAACAATGAATTTTTTTAGTTTTATTGAGGCATAATTGATGTACAAAAAACTGCACATATTCAATGTACACAATTTGATGTGTTTGGATATGGGTATATACCAGTGATGCCACAATTAAAGTGGCATTTAAAAAAATTATTTATTTAATTTATTTATTTTTGGCTGCGTTTGGTCTTCATTGCTGCACGTGGGCTTTCTCTGGTTGCAGTGAGCAGAGGCTACTCTTCGTTGTGGTGCGCAGGCTTCCCATTGCGGTGGCTTCTCGTTGTGGAGCACGGGCTCTAGGCGCACGGGCTTCAGTAGTTGTGGCTCGCAGGCTCAGTAGTTGTGGCACACAGGCTTAGTTGCTCCACAGCATGTGGGATCTTCCTGGACCAGGGCTCGAACCCGTGTCCCCTGCATTGGCAGGTGGATTCTTAACCACTGTGCCACCAGGGAAGCCCTAAAGTTGCACTTTTAAACAATGTTCTCTTTGGTTCTTTTTCGTTGTGAAGCAGTAGAAAACAATATTTGATTTTATAGAAAAATTTAATATAGAGTAAAATTAAAACCCTTTTATTACGATCCATTTGAGAATAAGTTCCTGACTTGAAGCCCCATCACCCCCAAGTACCTTTGTAAGAGGGAAGAACAAATCTGACTCCATATTGGATCTGTTTCTTTTACTTTAACCTTTGTATTCTATTGCTTTTGCTACACATTAAGAATGTTGCCTATAGCCTGAACTATACAGGGTAGCCCATTCTCAGGGCTCTGACCTTTAAAGGTATAACAATTTTCCATTCATGTAGAATGAAAATGAGATAAAAAGTTGCAGAAGAGAGAATAACATTTGTCTTGTTGGAGGTTTATAAGGACATTGTGACCAGACCTCTGTGGACAGCTGCAAGAAAAAAGGATTCTGGCCCAAGAAGGTTGCAGTAATCAACCACACCCCCACCCCTTTAATATAAAAGAAGCCTGAATTCTAACTCAGGTAAGATGGCTCTTTGGGACGCTAGTCCATCATCTTCTTGGTCATCTGGTTTTCTGAGTAAATTCACTATTCCTTGTCTCAACACCTCATCTCTCAATTTATTGGCCTGTCCTGCAGTGAGCAGTATGAACTTGGATTCCGTAACACTTAGTATTTTCTACAAAGACTTTCTTCCTGCATATCACCTACAATCATCAAAATAAGGAAGTTAATTCTGCTATATAACTCCCATCTTATCTTCAGACTTCATCAATTTTTGCAACTTGTTCCAATAATATTCATTACAGTGAAATGATCCAGTTCAGAATCATGCATTGCATTCAGCTGTCATGTTGTTTTTTTTCTTCAGTCTGAAACAGTTCCTCAGTCTTTCCTTGACTTTCATAACTTTAACACTTTTGAAGACTAAAGGACAATTGTTTTGTAGTATGTCCCTCACTTTTTTTGTCCTTACTTCTTCAGGATTAGGTTCAGTTAGGTATCTGTGACAGGATCAGCACATAAGTGATGCTGTTTCTCCCTATTGCATCTTTTCAGGTGGCGCACAATTTTGATTTATCCCATTACTGAAAATGTTTACTATCATCAGTTTAGGTGGAGTTTTGTAGGCTCTTCCACGAGAAATTATTCTTTTCTACTAATACGCCAGCGCCCACGTATACTGCTTGCAGATCTGGAATCATATGAAGTCATTGGACACCTCTGCGCCTTTGCTCAGCCTTCTCTTTCTACCTAAAACGACCCTTTTCTCTCCCCATAATCCCCACACTCGTTGTTTTGGAACCAACGTCTGTAGCTTGTGGGTACGTAAAGGCCTAATTACATTCACCCCTCCTCCCCCCCCAAAGGCCAACAAGTCATAAGTCGTCTTCGGACGCCTTATCCTGAGAAGCCCTCACTCTTCTCAGCATTACTGTCTGGTCCCCTTTCTGTTACTCATTAGCATCTTGCTCTCCACCTTTGTCGCTGCTCAAACGCAAATTCTCCCGCACTCGTTCCGCGACGTCTGTCTTAGGGCCGTACCGGCTCAGCGCACCCGCCTCTGCCCGCAGTCCGCAGTGCGCATGCCCGGCACCTCCCGGCCCGCCCCAGGCGCGCTAGCTCCCCGCGTCGGTCCACCGCTCAGTTACTCCGCCCCCACCGCGCGCCGCACAGTCTGAACACAGAAACCAGGCTCAGGTCCCACTGCGGGGCGCGGGTCCGCTCCCTCCCCTTTCCAACGAGACTTCCGCCGGCCGTAAAGCTCGGCGCCAACTGCTGCAAAGCGCCTTGCGACAGAGCCCGGGGCCGAACTACAGCCGGTAACCGCCCCCGCGTTAAACAGTAGGCTATCAGGAGCCGAGGAAGGCGGCCGCTCGCGTGTTTGATTTCCGCGCTCGGCCTGCGTTCCCCGGAGGTGGCTCGGAGCCGCCGCGGCCAGGAGGGGAGGGCCCGCGCCGGCGCCTCCCGGCCGCCATCATCCCGGCGTGCACCGCGGCGGCGGGCCGAGCCGGCCGCCATGTTGCGATAGTTTGTTGTTTTCTTCCTGAAGAGGAGCAGGCCGTAGGGCCAGCAACCCGCCGGCCGCGCAGCCATCCACCCCCAGGCCCGGCCCGCTGCCCCCCGTGTCTCGTCCCCCGCCGTGCGTCTCCAGGCCCCGGCTGGCCCGGCGGCCCCCACAGCTGGCTTGGTGGGGCGAGGCTGAAGGCCGGGCCCAGCGAGCACTATGGCGGCCGCCCTGGGAGCGGGCGGAGGAACCGGCGCTGGAGGTAAGTGAGCGGCCCCGCGAGGGAGGCGGCGGCGGGGGGGCAGCGGGCCGCTCCTGGCCGTCTTTGTGCTCTCGTGTCCCTGCCTTCACGGCGGTGAGGGCTCAGGCTCACCGGAGGCGGCGGGCGGCCTGCGCGGGGGGCGGGGTGACAGCGCCCGCCCCCGGGCCCTTTGCGGGAGGGTCGCGGCCCAGGAGGTGTCCTGTTGGGCTCCGGGTGGTTGACAGCCCTGCATTAGACTCATCTACGTGAGGGGATGTGTTTGTGCGGAGTTTCGGAGAGCAAGGAGTCTGAAAAAAATAACCTCCCCGAGCTGGTCTCGTTTTCCATGAACTCCTTAGTGGTCTGATACCGACCCATTAGGGCTTCGTGATCAGCGTCCTAAGAGATAGAAACGGGGCCGAAAAGGGTCAGGTACTGATGCAGTTCCTCTGGGTAGTTTGTCTTGTTTTCCTAGCGTAGATGAGTTCGATAGGGGACCTAACTCAAAACAGATTTCAGGTCAAATCACTTTCTGGTTGAAATCACATTTTGTTGATTGAGGTTTTTTTTTTTTTAACGTGAGAAAAACACTTGAAAGTGACTTTTACGATAGTTCGAAAACGTTGATAAAGGAGACTCTTAACTGGTAAAGTATGAACAACAGCAGTGTTTGGGCTTGGTTCTCATTATTGAAACCATCCTACTGCGTGTTCTTTAGGAATGCTTATTTATGAGTACATTGTAATAATCCTGTCTAGGTCTAAGTATTTTGGTCTAAGTATTGAAGCGCTCATATGGTGCAATGGAAAAACCCACAGACACTAAATGCAAGAAATGTCACTTCTGGCAGTATGATTTGGTGTATGCCATTTTTCTGTCACGTGATTTTTTTCCTGAGGCTTTCTAGTTAAATTTTGAAAATACTTGGTTTACCTTCCTTACTTGGTTACTTTCTGGGGTTCAAAATCATGGTTCTGTATCATTTTCAAAGTGTAGTCTGGGAACTCCTGGGTCAGAAGTGTTTCCGTTAATAGTACTAGGGTCACTTGCATGTTTCACTCTTTCACTGGAGCATAGTGGAGTTTTCCAAAGGCTGCGTGACACGTGAAGGCATCGTTGTACAGGTGGCCGATGGAATGTGTGCTTGCATAGCTTTTTGAGTTTCTCATTTTTAATTTCGAAAATAAGCAAATGTCAGTGAGTGTAATTCACATAAACAAAAGCTTTTTGGTGTCTTCAATACATTTGAGTCCAGAAAGTTTTTGAGAATGGCTATTTTAGAGGATTAAGTAGGTTTTGTCCTTGATGATTTGGAGTTTCTCCTTCCATTTTGTCACAGGTGCCTGGTTTCCCATTGCTTTTAGACTAAAGGCAAACTCCTTACCAAGACTTGTGAGTTCTGCGTGACTCGGTCCCCCAGCCTCCCCAAGCTCTTGGGTCAGCCTGCTTCCCTCCAGGAGGACCGCCCCTGCCCTCCCTCTGGCTCTTCATCCCCCAGGCCTCAGGCTCCTTGGGAGGCCTTCCTTGAGCGTTCTTTCTTCTCAGATGTGTCCATCTCGTGCTTGTGTGCCTCCCTCACCTAAATTCTGTGGCACCCTTCTTTCTTCAGAGCATTTATCTGAGTCTGTGATTTTATTTGGTTATTTATTTACTTTTTTTAAATCTCCCTTCCCCAGGAGCCTGTAAGCCCCTTGAGGACAGGAATGCTGCCTGTTTTACCTGCTGTTTATTCCAAGTTCCCGGCATGTAGTGTATGTTCAACAAACACTTGACAAATTAGTGATTAAAGAATAAAGTATTTTCTTCATGAATCCCTTTGCACCCTTTTCTGTGCATATGTAAGTTGCACATTTACAGCTGTGTGGCTTTTTATGGTATGAATGGAATCACGTAGTGCCCCAGTTTGCTTTGTTCACTTAGTAGTAGGTCTTGGTGATCTCTCCTGTGTTAGTAGGTGAGAGTTACGTGGATCCACCATTTATTGATTAACCATTTTTGTATTGGTGGGCATTTCAGTTATATGTCCTTTTCCACTGCTGTGGAAAATTCTGCACTAAACGTCTACAGACGCATCTTGGTGTGCTTAAGCAAATATTTCTGGAGGATTGATAACTCTAGAAGTGCAAATACGGTGTTGTAGGCTACATATATTAAAAACTTTTTTTGTGTGTGTGTTTTTTTGTTTTTCAGCCTTGCCTCTCGGCACGTGGGATCTTAGTTCCCCGATTAGGGATTGAACTGATCAGGGATTGAACTCGGGTCCACACCAGTGAAAGCCCGGAATCCTAACCACTAGGCCACCAGGGAACTACTGCTCCCACCCAAGTTTTTTTTTTTTTATTGAAGTGTAGTTGATTTACAAAGTTGTGTTAGTTTCAAGTGTACAGCAGAGTGATTCGTTTATATATATTTACACATATATATATTTTCTTTTTCAGATTTTTTTTTTTGTCATTTGCTTTCATAAATTTTTTTCGTAATGGTGTCTCCATGCCAAGAGTTCCTCTGTGCTTTTAATACCTTATGCTTCTGTACTTTTTTATGTTTAGCTTTTATTGCATATGGAATTTTATTTTGGGTGTGGTGTGAATTTGGGGCTTCTAACAGTTCTAATATGATTTATTGAATACTCTATCTTTTCCAGCTTTAGAACATATTAAATTCTCATTCATAGTTTTAAAAAATTACTGCTCCATGGTGTGTGTCTATATATATTATAGCATGTTTTTCAGAAATTTCAGTGAGCTCTGCATTTAAAAAAAAATAAACTTCAGAATCATCACATTCTATAAAGAATTCTGCTGAAATTCTTACTGGGATTGCATTGAGTTTATTAATATAACTTTGGGATGATGGTTACTTTTACAATATGGGTTCTTTCATTCAGCAACAAGAATGTCTTGCTGTCAAGCTCTTTTTTGCCCGTCAGTTATCTACCACATTTCTGAGTACCTGCTCTGTGCTGGGCACTGATCTAAGAGGTTGGGATACATAAATATTGGAATAGAAGAGATTGCAGATACGAAGAAAATTTTACTTAAGGTAAGTTCCATAGGAGAAGGGATCTCTGTCTTCTATGGAACTTAACCTTAGTAAAATTTTCTTTATATAGTTTTCATACATTTCTTGTTAGTTTTATTCCTAGGTATCTTGTATTTGTTGTTGTTGTGGATGGTATAGTTTTTCATCCTATTATATTCTGAAATTTGTTGCTGATCTACTATAGAAAAACTTTTTTTTTTGGTTATTGTGTATAACTGGCTTATTGGAATCTTTTTTTAAGAGTTTGGTGCTTTAGATTTTCTAGTCAGACTGTCATATCTGCAGTCTCTTCTATTTCAGTATTTATGTCTCATTTCTTTTTCTTGTACTTCTCGTTCTAGAACCATTCCTTGTCAAGTCCTCCAATATAATGTTGGGTAGTAGGGGTGATGACAGGCATCTTTGTCTTGTCATCCTGTCATGAGTTTAATGAGCGTTCTTTTAATGTTTTACCAGTGAGTATAGTGTTTGCTGTAGTTTTCTGGTAGTTACTGTTTGTTTAGCTCAGAAAGTTTATTTTTTGAGTTGGGGTTTTAATTTTATCAAAGCCTTTTCTGCATCATTGAGGTGATCATGAGGCCCCTTCTTTAATATCTTACTGTGATGTATTGATAGATTTCCAATGCTGAATCAATCATGCAATCTTGTGTTCAGAACCTTCTGGTTCTGTAGATCCTTTTCAGTGTTTTGTTGCTTTTCATTTTAGGGTTTATCTGTGATCATAAGAGAGATAGGCTTATAGTTTTGTATTTGTGTGTGCACATGGTGCTATCCTGTTTTTTGTAAGATAGGCTGACTTCCTAGAATGAGTTGTGAGATTTTCTGGACATTGTAAAAATCTTTCTATTAAATGTCAGAAGAGCTGTTGTCTGCAAAGCCATTTGGATCTGTTGCCTGTTTATTTTTCAGTTTCTTCTGATCTTATTGGTCTATTTAGCTTTTTTAAATCCATGGGTCAATTTTGATAAATTTTTCTGGGAAAATTATTCTTTATGTTTATATTTTCAAATGAACAAATATGGAGTTAAAGGCTTCAGTTTCCTAAGAGTGGGTGTGTTGAAGGTAGGTAAATTTTTGAGACCCATGCATGTCTGAATAAATTCTTACTTTATTTTCATACTTGATTGATGATTTGGTAGGGTCTCGAACTCTAGATTTGACTTAGATTCATTTTCCTTAGATTTTTGGTAGTACTGCTGTGTTGTTTTCTGGCTTCCAGTTCTGCTCTTGAGAAGTCTGATGACATTCTGATTCCCTGTCATTTGTATGTGACCCTTTTTCTCTTCCTGGAAGGTTTTAACAGTTCCTCCTTATTGTTATAAGATTCATTAGCATAGGTCTTTTTCTATTTCTTGTGCTGCATTTGGTGGATACCTTAGTCTGGAAATACGCATCCTTCAGTTCTGGGAAATTTTCTCACGGTACTGTTTTTCTCCTTTCAATTCCTCTGTTCTCACTTTCTGAAATTCTTATTATTGGATTTTGATACTTCATTTGTATACAAAAGATAAGCATGATGAGACAGTTCATTAAGATTCTTTTGGAAGGATGGCTATTTTGGTAGTTCATAGAGTCACATAAAGGAGTTGGACAACTAAGACTGCAGAACAATGGAAGTCAGGGCGATGTGGGCCTTGGGCGGGCTTGCAGCTGCTGATGGGGCTTCTCCAGCTAGGCTCTGTGGCTGCCACTTCCTCGTCACTTACTCTTCTTATAGACACAGGAATTTTGTTCCTGTTTGGCCAGGTGCTGTTCACCTTTAGCTGATTTAGCTACAGCAAAATGTGGGTCCACTGTTTTAGATCTTTTGATATTTTTATTTTTTTGGAAGGAGCTGTAACTCTGGTACTTATATATAATTATATTTTTAAAATATTGGCAACCAAGTTGATTAAAAAAAGACAACATAATTCAAAGAGAGTGTGTGTCTTCTAGGCCAGCAGATTGCACCCTGTACTTTAGAGTGATTCTGCCTTCAT